TCAAGCATATACATGCATTTAAAATTAAGCATGAATTTGCAACTAGTAATCCTTCAGCTAGGCTTAATTATTGGTCGTATCATAAAGCCTATTTGGCTTGATTATGGGTAGGAGGTGAATATGAGTGTTGACTATTTAATTAAAAACAGCAAATTAAAAATTTAAAAATAATCAAACTTTATTGAACTAAAAACAATTAAATAAATACCAATCGATTTATATAAAATAAATTAAAACTAACTAAGAACTAAGATCTTAGAACTTAGAATAAAAACACTTATTTAAAAATACAACAACTTAATCTCCACGTATTTAATGTTGATAACTTGATTTAGGCATTTTGTATGCCACCATCAATGACTAGATTAGCGCCGGTAATAAAAGCAGCGTCGGGTGAGGCCAGGTATACGACCCCTTTGGCAATATCGAGGGCCGATCCGAGTCTTTTCATTGTTATTTTGGACATCATATTTGAAAATACTTTTTCAGCCGCTTTGGGATCAGCCATAGGGTTGTTGTTAAAAAAGTTTGTAATCACAGGTCCCGGACTTTTCAGTAGATAATTGTAATAGTTTAAATTTTATCATTAAAGTAAATGTTAAAATTCAATAAGTGCAAAACTATAATTATTATTACTTGATAACATTGACCCGTATTTTGGGTCCCAACTCCAGGGCCAACGCCCGGGACATCATATCAACGCCCGCTTTTGATGCCTGATATGCTAAGCCTAATGCAGACTGTTTTGACATTATATTAATATAGTTTATAAATAATTTAATTAAATTTGATAATAAATTTACCGGTTTGAAAGCAGCGATACTCGATATACTAATAATAGTGCCATTTGTTTGATCCAAATAAGGGACAGACAGTTGGATGAGCTCAAGAAATGAGCGCAAATTTATATGTATTGTCTTATCAAACACTGACATAAGATTGGGATCTCTTATACCAATGAATTGACCGATTCCTGCGTTATTGACCAATACATCTAATTTACCATAAGTTTTGATCGTCTCGTTTAATAATCTCTTCAGATCATCACTTTTACCCACATCTGCCACCACTTCCAGAGGCTGATGTGAAGCAAATGATATGATTATAAGTAAAAACAAACACTATTTATACCTTCAGTTTTTTGGGTGACAATTGTTGAGCCTCTTTGGCCACACGACTGATTTCACTGGCCTTCCGTCCGGTGACCACAACATTGGCGCCCAATCGAGAGAACAGTTTGACAATTCCCTCACCGATGCCAGAGCTGGAGCCAGTTGTCAACACTACTTTTCCCGTGAAATCGTGGTCACTCTTCACATCCTTAAACACATCATTGCTTATGGAATAACAAACGCCTGAATATAATATCACTGCTATTGTTAGCAAAATAATTGCGTTTGTTTTAAACATATTTAATGATTTTTTAAAAACTATTAATAAATTAAAATTTAAACAAAACTTATATTAATATATTATATTAATATAAATTTTAATTGAATGAGAACTTAATAAACTTAGTTAGATGTTACTTGAATAGTCATAACAATGTTTGCAATGTGTAAAGAGACAATGTTTAGACTGCTTTATATACTAATAATTTTGCACTATATATTGTGCAAACTTAAGCACCATATTAAGTGCCATTTTAGTGCCATTTTAGTACAATTTATATATTGTGGGCTAAATTTAAAAATAGAAAATATTTTTGTCATATTAAAACGAACTTGATTTGAACCTAAAATACAGTATTTACTAATATGAAAGTAAGTTATTGTAATTTTGCAAATTATATTTTATTAATTTATTACAATGAATGCCTAATTGACAATGTGCGTGATAGTTTGTAATAAATAAAATAATCATATTGCAGTGTTATTTTTAGTCGTTAATGTTCAAATTTAGTTGTAATATTTATATATAAAGCATTGATTTTAAGTTAAATAACTTTTTGTTCCGAAAGC